CCAAATTTCTACATTTCTAATTTCTGTTTGTCCCTACGTAAACCTGGGGTCTGTTTAATCCTTCCATTTAAATCTAGCCTATGAGATTTTATTGTGGACAAGGTGAAAATCTTAATTCTGATTGCTAAGAAAAGTGTTATGACAGCAATATCTTATCAACAAGCCACCCAATTTGAAAAATCATTCATGTCATCATCATTCTCAGTAGCATGCCAAATGTATAATACAGTGTTTAATCTTTTATATTTCTAATTCTAATATGAGAAATTATAAGCAAGCACCATTAAGTATGGTAATTTTCATACTTAATGTGCGTGTGTTAGTTCATGAATACATACATCTTATATTCCGTATATAGTTTAAGCACCACATGTAATCCATTATAGTTTATGGCATTTTCATTGATGCTCTTAAAAAACTTTATTTCATTTATTTTAGAAAATTATAATTTCCAATGCATATTATAACCTCTTTATATTTCACTTGAACAAAATTGTTGGTTTGAAAAACCCTGTGAAAATGCTGTCTGTTATAAAAAACAAAAACAAAACAAAAAACATTTCTAAATTAGACTGCAGTGCAAAGAACTGTAACAAATGACAGCAAGTTGAGCATTAAAAATCTAAGCTTGGTAATCAAATCTGTCTTAATAAAACTCCTTAAAAGCATCATTATGCCATTAGGTCATTAAACTGTCACTCAGATTAGCTTTTCAGCACTTAATCAAATGTAAAAGATTCTACCTGTCTTTCGGAGGACACAGTTGAACACAGGGCGCTGGAGTCTCGTCCTCTCTCTGCATTGCGCCGGCACATCATGTGTGGGGATCTTGTCCCTGCAGTGTGGCAGCTTCACGGTCCACAGCCAGCTTTTGAAAGATGGCTAGCAGTGGGGGTGTGAGCCACTGTGTGTGTGGTGAGCAAAGGGGAGTTCATTGTAACTGGTTGGCACCTATCGATCGGAAGGGCCGTCTCCACCCCAGCACAAGCCCCAGTCAGGTGACCTGTGCTTAGCTAAGCAAAAACTTCTGACAGTGCCGTCAATAACCTCCCGACACCTTCCGCTGGAGAACGGCGTGGGGAGAAGCCATGAGGTCTGCACTCCATATGCTCAAAATTGAGCTTGGCACACACTGTAGCGGGACCTGACATCTAATGAGGCAGACTGGCTTGGATAAACACAGGCCATGGGAGAGAGAGTTTAATAGAAATATCTTGGGTGAGAACTATCGAAGTGCTCTGGTGGAGATTATTCACATTTACCAAGGACACACCAAAGGCAAAGTTTAAAGGAGACATTTATAAATAACAACTGCAGTATTCAATAGTTTGTTCTCTTCAAGGAGAACAGTAGGGTAATATGCCCCACAGGGCAAGATGACGCTTCCTTTTTTCCCTCTGTACCATAGATTGTTCTTAATCTCATTTCAACACATTTAATAATGGACATGGATAGGTTAAATTATCTAATTTTGTGTTTCTGGAAAATAGTGATGTATAACATTGCATTATGCTAAATGATGCTGTCTATTTGTTAATGGGGTATTTGTGGAGTAAAAATACTGTTTTTATTTTAAGGTTAAAAAGTAAAATTAGACTATTGAGCTAACATGGCTCCCCCATGAGTGCATGGGGCAACTATTCAGTAATTCCATAAATTAGATGTACATTTCAGACATCTTCGCTATTCATGCAATATGAAATGATTCAGTTTGAATTCATAGTGTTGCTATTATGTCATCATTTCTTTAATTACATTTATAATATTTATATAATATATAATTTTATATAATATATAATTTATATTCCTTTACATATTATACTTTATATATTTTACTGGGATTCTGCTTTGTCTGTCTTTGGTCATTCAATTATTGAAGTAAATTCTCAAAAAAGCTAGACAAAATAGCTTTAACTCTGGTGCAACAAATCAAATCTCCCATAGGAAAGAAAACTCATGAGATTTCTTTAATATCTTGTTTGTTCACCTAAATAGCAATGAGACTAAATTAAGTTCAAATGGAGATTATCGATCCTGCACTTCTCAGATTCTTGTAATCTCACTTTTTTATTCTAATTCCCAAAGAGATTTCAGATTTTTGAAACAGTTGGAAATTTCGATATGAACTGATATTGCAGCAATATCTAAAAATATATTTCTCATCAAATAATAAGCCAAATTATTTATAGCATGTGTTCTTATTTAAATGAATTGAAATATTAGCTATAATCTCCATATTCACATTAATATTACTCTGTACTTTAACTGTCAACAAATATCTCAGTTGTGCCTATTTTTATTTTTATGAGAAACATAAATATATATATATATATATTCTCCTCTTTCCTATTACTTGTTTCGCTTCTGTTTCAGTTTTTATAACCATTTCTTACTATGTGTGAGTAAGTTGTTGTTTTTTAGCATGCAAGTTTGGCAGTGTTATTTTTTAGGATTACTGATAAACTACTGTCGTTTGATTTGTATTATTTGTATTTGTTATTTATTTTAATTTGAGTTACATTGTCTAAATTTATTATGTCTGTATAGGTCTTTTATTAAGTTTTTAGTTTTATTTAATTTGAGTAATTTTAATACTTCAACAAACTAAATGGAAATGAAATCATATATATATTGAATGAATAAATGTGTATGTTCATATACAGTATATATGTATGTGTGTGTGGTTGTACATGAGCTCTTGTCAATATGCTCTTGTACCTTTTGTTCTTTAATATTTTGAATTGTTTTTAGCTTTATTTTTTTTGTTTTTCATTTAAATGTTAAGTTTTGAAATTTTGTTATATGCACTTGTCACTTTTATTTAATCTCTTTATTTTTAAAATGTGTATAGGTAGTATTTATAAAGTTTTAGCTTTGGATCTGTTTTTAGTTGTTTTAATACTACAATTGATTGCTTCTGTTGTCCTCATTTGTAAGTCGCTTTGGATAAAAGCGTCTAATAAATGACAAAAAAAAAAAAAAATATATATATATATATATATATAAAGGAATATTTAAAGGGAAATAAAATTGGTGTTAAAATTGGCATGTTAATAATAAAATTGGCATCATTCATTCATTCAATGCTTCATTCATTCATCATACCTGAACCAACAGATACTAACATGAAAACATTCCGGATATACTCAAAAAGAGCATTTTCCCATGATATGAAGGAATTGTTCACCTTTAGAGAAGCCCTGAAATATAACCTCCTATATCGGCTCATCTAATGCTGTGATGATAATGAATGTGACATTTAGATGAATGTCTAGGGGAACTCAAGAAGGTCTCATAGTTTCATGTGCTCAACTTATTGAAATTTGTCCTGGTCAAGTTGAACAAGGTGAGCACAGCTGCAGGGCCTTGTTAACATAACCTCGGCTCAATTTCAGCACCACTATTACAGGATGGCATCAAATTCACTTTCAAACAGCAGAGTAAATATCTCTTTTAACAACACTGAGCAGGCATCCTGTTAACAGACTGTACAGCTGCTCAGGGTTTTAACACACCTATATAGCCACGCAAAATGATCAAAGTAAACAACTCTGAGAGGTGAAGGAGATGTGTTTGGATTACATTTGATATGTGCTGCAAGTTCTGTTTCAGTTCATATGTACAACGTCTTGCTACTGGCTGAAGAATAAACACAATACAATTAAAACATCTACAGAATAACCAAAATCTCCAGTTTATTCTGTTTAGTTAAAGTGCGACTTTAGGGATGTGCAATAAAATATAAAAATGAAAACTACAAATGAATGATAAAATAACATTAATTTCCTTCAGCAATATACCCAGTCACTCATAAGAACGTATACTGATGCACTGATGTGACTCATGTTCTCGGGCTTACAATACAACAGTAACGGCACTCAATGCACAACAGCACCTTTAGGTGGTGGACAATGCCTAATGCAACTGCAGAAGAGCCAACATGAATAAAGCCGTAAACGTAAAGAAATTAAATATACAGATTTTTGATTGTCTGATGCCTCTACTAAAAATATACATATTTTAAATTACCTTAATGAGTGAATTACAGAATGTGTCACTAGGAATGTCATCAGGGACCTGCCCCTGTCTATTCTAAAAATCTAATGAAAAAAAAAGACTAAAGGCTGGAATACACTACGTGATTAAAAAAAAAAAATCTGAACAGATTGTTAAACATCGGAATTGTACATTTGCAGACTTTGAATAGAGTTAAGGCTGGAATATACTATACAACTACTGATTTTCAAATCTTTCCAAAAACACAATAAACTCACTCAGAAATGTGCCCCTTATTGCTGACAAACGAAAACAATGTTCTAAATTCAAAATATCTAAACATTTGATATTCTCAGATTGGATGGAATCTTAATTTAAAGCTAAAAAAAATCAAGTATGTGCCCATCATACACTACACAATTTTCAGTGAAATCTATCAACTCTGACAGCCTAAAATCAGTAGACTGGTAGTGTTGACTTTTCCAGACAGCAAATCAGGGCAAATAAAATTGTATAAAAGTCATGCAGTGTTTTCCAGCCTTAAGCAATATCTACAAACTTAGTAACCTGAAAACATGATTTCCATTAATAAATCTGTATAATTATAATAGAGGATATGGATCCCTTTATGTCACCTAACAAGAACAGCATGAGAAGTATGTAATGCTAGTCTATGACCACTTACCAGTTAACTATTTATATTTAGAAGTCTTGGATGGATTTATCATTTACATACACACAAACACACACACACACACAAAACCCTGGTCACAAAATGTTTTTCTGTTCAGCAACAGCATGAACCATGATGTCCTATGATATTATGTATTCTACAAATTCATACAATCCTTTTCCACAATAAATCACCTTCAGCCTGTGTTTCAAGTATTCATATAAGGTTTCAGTTAACTTGACAGCAGAGTAGCCTACACTAACAAATTACAATACATTTGTGCTCTTAGCGGAGATGTTTCAGAAACATTAACGTGTCAGGTTTGTAGACACAAAACTTTAGGATGCATCATCGGTCCATTGGTCCATTGGAGGTAGTAGTAGGTGAGGCAGAGACTATGTCATCAGGAAACACATCAGTTTTATCCTCCCTAAAAGAGGCTGCCGGGTCGGACACAGAGGCGAATGAGAGGTGATCATGATCCACAATGTTTAGCTGGTCTTCTGTTTTTTGTTTTCTCAGGTAGAACATCTTCCTGAGCTTCTTCATCTGCTGAAGTTCACAGAAGGTTTCCAGAACCACTAGCATTGCGATCAAGCCCAATATCAGGTAGACTGTAGAGGAGAGAGGCAGGTAAGATTAAAGAGGGCCAGAGAGCCTTATGGGGTCTGCAGTGATACTACAGGGGGTGTTGGCAAATTAATTGTTTAAAAAATGTCACAGTGCAAACGCTAAGTTAACAAAGCAACCTAAGATAAAGATGTAATATAAATGTAAGAAAGAAAAAGTAAAATGTATATATGTACATCAATCATGTTTAAATGAACGGTGCACTTACATGTAATGCCCAATTTATAGAGTTCTCTGAACCTCTGATGGTAGCCCTCTCCTGGTACATAGTCACCTAAGCCAATAGTACTAAGAGAAATGAAGCAGAAATAGAAGGACTCCAGAAAATTCCAGTCCTCTTCCAGTACTGAAAAGATGATAGCAGGTATGAGGAAGAAGCAGGAGACGGTTATAATGGCCAGCAGGGAGGCGTGCAGGGCGGCCAGCAGAGGTTTGGACATGCCCCAGCGCCGGTGCAGGTACTCCACGGGCCTGCGGGTACTGAACTCCATGATCCTCTGGACCACTGCAGTCAGGAACAGCAGGGTGAACGGGATTCCCACCACAGAGTAAATGATGCAGAAAGCCTTACCACCATCTGAGAGAGGAACGGAGTGGCCATATCCTGGAAAAAACACATGAAGCTCTTTGAAGGGGTCTTTTCATTTCACAGGTTGATTGTTTCCCGTGGGTTAAAGGTCATAAAAATGTATTTGACTGAAATGTACTAAAATATTTTACTCATTTTATATTCTACCAAAAATAAAACTGTTCTAGATGATGAGTTGTAAGAAAGGGACAGTTGGGAGAGCTCCTTAATGAAAACACTGTTGCATTGTAATTGTATTTGATTACTACACTGAAGAAAAATAGTGACGAAACAATGAATTTTAATTCAAAAAATGATAAAGAAATGGCAAGTAACACATTGAATTTTACAAGAAATTTGTAAAACATACTCCAATAATCTTTGTTTTACTTACTTTAACTTCAAAAAATCATTTACAGTCTACAGTATAGTGATTTTCAGACTGAAATTGTGTATAAAGCATAATAGTAACTGTAAATATGCATTTAGCCTAATCATGGGAGTGTCATCTTTTATGTTTAGATATTTGAGATCAGGTCATTGGGCTAGTTCTGGATATTTTTGACTGCCCATTGGACACATTTTGTTTAGCATATCTGGCAATCCTCATCTCATCTAGCATTTTACTCAAATGAACCAGTTAATTTCGTTTTAAACACCATCCTAATCACATAATGAAAAGTTACCAGGAATGTCAAGTGTGTTACCTGTTGTAGTACTTAAATCCTGCTGGATTAAGTTACATAATCCTTGGAAACACTACACACACTGCATGCTTATCCAGTTCAGACATCCTTCAAATCACCCACTGCAATTAATGAAAAAACCACTAGGGCTCCTAAGGGGCTGTAAATATGTGAGCATGCACTTATTTTGCTTTATTTGTAAGAGTGTCATAATATTAATAAATACAGTGAAATCTCTAAAAATTGACTTGTGAAGATGATCCCACCATCAATACAAAAAAGATTCAAAAGTGGCCCAATTACAATTATGTTTTGTCTATAGTATTATATCTGTTTTATGATACTTGGTATCATATTTTTGCAACTTTTTTGCTTATGTTTAATACATCCTGAGCACTGACCAAAATGTGAATGTTATCGTTATTAATAGAATAGTTATTAACAGCTATAGTTATAGTTATTAACAGTAACAGCCAACTGCATAACACTGCGGGCCATTTGAAACAACGAAGCTCATAGCAATTTAGTCTATGCTTTTTCTAGAAGACTTACATATTTTTATTTCATGTGATTGCATATTATTTCGCAGAAGGGCTGGTTATTTATTTGTGTAAAGCTTGTTTAATGAGCAAAAAATTACTACCAACTTTTTCTTAGAAGGATATGTAAAATGGAGTCTAAATTCCCAGTGTATCCTATTTTATTGAACTGTTATTTGTTTTTATTTTCCCCTTTGTAGTATGTTAAGTAAAAAATATGATCATAGTCTGTATAATATGTTTGTACAAGATCTTGATATATCGCAAGGCCCATAAAGCTTTGTTGACTTCTGACTCATTATGAAGGGAGGGAGAGAGACAGACTGCTCTAACCCATTAAACACAGCAGGCAGGTCTCTTTTCTTGAGTTACATCCTTGTTTTAAAGCATCTTTAGTCTATATAAAAATATGATTGTAAATGTTGGGCTGTTTAAAAAGGCCACATCATACTGTACAAGCTTTTCAACCTTCACAGGCTAATGCTGTTATCAGAGATCTCAGAGAGGACAGGTCGACCTTACAAAGGACACCACACCGGTGTTTTCTACCATTGCGGTCGATCCTGGGTAAATGATTGTAAAGAAGGACTTACCTGACTACAGACAGTAAATTATATCATGTAAATCAACAACTGGGTTAGAACACAAAAACAGTCCTATTATGGCTATTTATTATTGTGAAGAGAAAGTCTGTTCTCACCTGTCGTGGACAGCACAGTGCTGGCGAAGAAGAGGGCTGATGTGAAATCCCAGTTCCAGTTAGTAGTAGCATTATTGAGAACCGACACACCGTAATTACTCGCTTCTAAAGCTCTGGTGAGAAACTCCTCCAGTCTTTCATCGGACAGACATTCGTTATCATTTAGAAACTGCTGCTTCACGGTCCGAAGCTCTTGCCGAAGCTGCTCTTCATACGGCAGCTCCACCGCGTAAAACACTAAAGCACCGAATATCAGATATAACACATACGCTAATACCAAGACCAAGAAATACCACGTAGACCTGTAACCTTCTATGACACGCACACACGAACTTCCAGACAGACACTGAAGCATCGTCTCTGCGGGAGAATTAATACAAGTAGTTGTATTACAGGAATACTCTTGTTTCTTACAAATAAAAGGGAGCAAACACTCTTACAGCTGTCTTTTGATTATAATTTCCTTGTTTGTCCCCTGCCGGTATTGCGGAGCTGATGTGACGGATGATCAGTAGAAGCCTTTGCTAATCGTACTATGGCGAAGGGTTTATTAATATTCATGAATCCACCATTCGCCTGTGGTGGAAGGTGACAACGCAACGTCAGCTCTACCTAATTAATATTTATAAACCAAGCCATCGCCATTGGATGGTTACAACGGGCGTCAGCGTTATTTGATTAATATTCATGAGATTGCCTTCGCTGTAGTAGGATTCCTATTTTGCGTCAGGCTCATGACGTCTCGTTCCTCCACGCCTCACCTTACTCAGGTCAGCTCAGTTGATTACATTTATCACGGTAGGGCGCACCTAGTAAGGTAAACTTGAGGAATTTGCGTTTAGAAGACAGATACAGTTAAGCAGCTGTCTCAATGAGAGGATACCATAGGCTAAGTGAAAGTGACCCAGGCCATTAGGGTCAGCAGCAACTGCTTCGAAGACATACATAGGCTACTCTGTTACCTGGTAGAACAGGTTTGACCAGGTGGTGATAGGATGGTCTTATGGGATGACAAAAGATTTGATTGAAGTGGCCTCAAACAAAAGTGTTGTTGGAGCTTCCCATGTTTCCTCATGTGTGTCAAAAAGCTTTCACGTGTAGCAATGGTTATGAATAGCCGAAACAAAACAAGGGCAGTTGTGAAGTGGTCTGTCTGCATTTAAGAGTTCAGTGACCTGTTTCAGTGTGATCAATAAATGTAAGTGAAGCCAGAGTAGTCTACGGAAGCACCATATAAATGTATCATAAAGGTAATCCATACTACTATATTTCAAATTTCTTGAAGCCATTAACTGTGCGACAAACAAAATGTCATAACGTGATCAGTTTGTTTGACAAATGAATCATTTAGAACGGTTTCGCTATTCAACTGATATATTGAAAATATTCTACTAAAGAGAACTGTTCAGCCACAAAACCTGAAAGTGCCAGTTCATGTTTTCTGATTGAATTGTTCTTTTGAGTCAGACATATTCGATACAAGACTGAATCATTCATTTGTGAATCAAACTGATCTTGTCCTCGAGTCTCAAGAAGAGCTAGGATGGATGTCAAGATTTTCAAAAGAATAATGATGTAATTTATTCCTTTCCTTACAAAAAGCTATTGTGTGACTTCAGGGCACACAGAATTTAGCACATCAGTTGCATCAATCACTTTTATCATAATTTTATGATGCTTTTTTTGTCATGTTGGAGTTCAACAGCCCCTGTCCTCATTCACTTCAAAAATTCCTCTTGCGTGTTCCACAAAGGAATAAAACTCATGCAAGTTTGGAACAACAGGATGACAGAAATTTATTTTTTTTGATGAGCTACCCCTTTAAAGCATCACATTGTTTGCGTTTTGACAATTTCTTCATTTTAAAAGCATCACTCCACCCTGTACAAGCATTATGCAGGAGATGATTATCTCAGTAAACAGGTCTGTGCACATTTTATAGCTAAAGCTGCTGATGCACAATAGCAGTGGTTAATAATACATCTGAGATCATCAGACTGCTTACGTGGATAGTGTCATAGTCTACTCATTTCTCTTTAAACTTTTACTGTATTTAAATGTTTTACAATCACAAACTCTCTCAACAATGCTCTTGTCCTCATTTTGTTTTAATGCCAGATTTCGTGAGTGGCTGGACAGTTTGATGTGACAGCTGTACTTCCTGTGCCTCTTGCCATTCTGCAGATTTGCTGCATCATTGGATGACTGTATGCTTCATTCTTGGTTCCTGACAGAAGTCAAACTCTGAGAGCTTCCTTTTATATATTCTGTTCTGCTCCTTTGGGTTATTTCTGAATGATCGAGTGAAATGTGAGACCTCTGGCCAGACATGAGCGCCAATGTAGTCAAGGATGTTGCTCTCACACAGAGGCACAAGGCCGTGACACAGAGCCAGTGTTATTGTTACACTGCTAGTGACATGTTAGAGCTAATCTGCTATGACAATTATTTACATAAATGTCACTGACAATAAGATTAATAGGGAGTTATGTTATTGGAGTGGACAATCTGGTAAAACCTGGAATAAAAAAATATTAAATAATTATTTATTTGTTTATTTATTTAACAAAATGTTGAACTACTTTTTGCTTTTATAACCATGCGCGAAACCGTCCGTCTAGCTAATGTTCACATAGAAAAACAATGGAAAAACAGCGCGGTGAAATACAAAAACGCTTTCTTATGTGTAACCGGTCCCTTTAATACCCCACTGCAGATTAAGCTGAGGCTTAAACACAATATTGAAAAAGACACATCCTTGCCAATATTCAGATTTCTGCTTCAACGTGGGGTTTTCAGTGACTGAACTTTAAATTATTGCATTTGATCTCCCGAGTTCTGAATATGTGGTAGCATCATTTTATGCAAGCTCCTTTTAGGACCACTAGAGGGTATTGTGACTCCAAAAACTGGAAAAATCACCTTTAGGTGTTTGTAGAGGTGTGGTGTTTCAAAGGTCAGATCCAGACTCTGGAAAAGTGTCTAAAACCTGGTCTGGTTATTCTCCAGACCATGTTTTTGAAAGCATAGCAAACTCTTTCGGTCACCTTAACACTTATATTTGCATTCCTCTACTGTGAGTGGAACAAAAAATAGAAGTTTAACCTGCCACATCTGTAGAGTTATAGTCCTTTAAAGTGTGTCTAGAACACTGTCAATCTTACACCTAGGTATAATTTATCACTTCTGTTTCATGGCCACAGACCTTTGATGTTTCTCTGTCTACTGTACTTCTCCGCCTACTGTGGTTAGAGTTATATTTTAAAAGCTTGTGATTTTCATGTTTAGCCACTTTAAAAACAGGGGAAGTTGTTAGTTATGTTTTGAATTGTTGGATTGTGTACTTTCTGTTTTACGAGGCTACCATTAGGTTATCACCTACCACTTAAAGCCATTTTCACATGCTTATTCCATTATTCAAATAAGGAATGCTATTTCCATTACTCACTTGTGCCTTAATAATATTTTTTAGATCTCGTAAAGACTTGTGATATTTCCTACGTCAAAGGGAGGACGCAGAATGAAGATTAATCGGTGGCTTTGTCGACACCGTTGATCTGCACCTATGCGCATAAAGGAACGGCAGAGAAGCATAAATGCTTCAAAGCATTCCAACTTTGTTTTAGTGCTTCACAGAAGGCCCTTTTCTTCCAGGTACTGGCTTAAAGGAAAGACAGATGAAATGTCAGCACGCACATAGGGATTAAATGTCCTGTTTGTTGAAAACAAGAACTTCCCCAAAATCCAACATGATGTTACTTCATAAATCAAAGGAGATCATGTTGTTAGTCTCCACCTATCCTTGTCTTTAGTCTATCATTTGTCTCTTGCGTGGCACAGCCTGCTTTTATTATTCGCTGTAACCATGGCATAGCCTCTCAGACAGGAAGCGAACACGTGCAGAGCTATCCAGCCAGAGTCAGCATTATGTCTCAATGGTTGGCATTTGTGTTTGGGTTGTTTTTGACCATCCCCGGGCTGTTGACCAGTTCCCAGGATTATGTTGCAATAGTGTTGAAATTGAGATCAGGACAAATCTGACAGCTGGCCTCGGTTTGTCATCCTTTTGTGACGCACAAGCCCCCTGACGCCATGTGCCCGCCAGGCAGCCGCTTGTTAGCCGGGTTGCGTGCTTTGGCAGGAGCTGCCACTCAGTGTGTACGTTCTCAGCTTTACTTTTTTGGGGCACGTCATTGATTGGGGCCACATGCGGCGTTTACGTGCATATGTTTCAGGTTGAGTGCAGGAGAAGCCTCCTGGCCCAACAAGTTCTGCGGTTCACTTTGGATATGTAGGCTGTTGTCCGGACTCAGAAAAGACATCCCTGCCGGCATCTGGAAAAGCCATCCGTGCCGGCAGGTCCACCCCACAGGGGCTCTTGCGCTGGGTCTAGTCCATGAAGAGCTGTGGTAAGCGCACTGCATTCTGTAGACTCCTCTGAGAATTAAGTCTGCGTTACCTCCCCTGATTTATATCGCCCATTTTTAAGGCCACTGGCAGAAAACTCAATGGCATTCTTGTATGCACTTTGCTGTGCAGTTAATGTTAGAAAGACTAAATAAAGAACAACTAAAAATGAGAAAGTACTGGTTTCCCCAATTTAACCCTCATAATCCATTTGTGTCTAAGACCCTAAAGTCATCTGAAATACAATTAATTTGGGTATATTTTTCAGGCTATTCTGCTGGCTATATTCTATCTATCTATCTATCTATCTATCTATCTATCTATCTATCTATCTATCTATCTATCTATCTATCTATCTATCTATCTATCTATCTATCTATCTATCTATCTATCTATCTATCTGTCTGTCTGTCTGTCTGTCTGTCTGTCTCAATCTCTCTCTCTCTGTCTGTCTGTCTATCTTTCTGTATGTCTGTCTGTCGTTTTGAATGAACTTGAGTCAATTTGAATGTTTGAATTGTTCAAAAGAGTCGTTTGTATGTGAATTGGTCAATCTATATGCTGTTGATTCACTGAAAAGAATCAGTTCATAAGAGACATTTGCTTCTGAATCAGACTTCACAGGTTGCACTATTTGTTACTGCGTGCAGCCTGTGATGATTACTCAATAAGAATATGATTTTATTGCCAATATTTCACAATGCATGTGCTTAATCTCACACTCAATTCGGATGGCAAATTTTGGTAACAACGACTTGTGTCGTAGCTGTAGATTCAATAATGTTTTAGATTTAGTAGCACATGTGGGTCGCCGCTGAAGCACAATCGGTGCACAGTAAAAAAGATTGAGCTTGAAATATAATCAATATTGAGATTAAAATGTGTGCAAATAAAGATTTTATGGAGCCCTTAAGGTGACATGGTGTTGAAAAAAAATGACATAAGAAGGAAAATTATATTTCAATGCTTTTGTGTTCTCTTGCAAAAGTATTGCATTCACCCAAGAAACTCTTGCAAAACATTTGCATTTACTCACATATAGTTTTTCCTGCCACTGTCTATTATTGTCATCACAAAAGTTTTGCAAGCAAATGTAAAAGCATTGAA